AAAGCAATGTTGATTGCTAATTTACTCACTTTTCAAGTTGTTTGCCAGTCAACTGCTCCATAAACGTCAAAGTTGCCACCTCGACTGCGGCACTGGATGACAAGCCGCCGCCCACTGGTACATTGGAGGCAAACACGGCATTGAAACCGGGCAGCTCACCTTCCTGTTTCGACTCGACGGCAAAATGGTGAATCACACCTTTCACGTAGTTCGCCCATCTGCACGGAGAGAGAAAGAAAAAGAGATAATAGAATTGCCGAAGTTCTCAAAAGTGCATACCAAAGCTAAAGTTCTCTGCTGCATGATCGGACAGACGGAACACTGACCGGCTATGTCAAAGCGTATTTAAATTTCCGAGGTGAAATTTGCTTTTTGCCACTGACGAATTTACCGCTTTTAGATGGCTTGGCGAAATCTCAACATTGATTGCACATACATATAAATACAAACACAAAAACACACCGCAAAGCACACACAAACACCCGGAATCATTCTCTCACTCACACATTGCTGCATGTTAACCACTTTCAACTCGTTTTTGCATTTCCTTTGTGGCTTTACAGTTGAGTAGTTGAACTTTACAATTTGACCACATGTATTTGCACACACACACATGCGCATACATAGTTTCAAGCATTTGCTTAACTATGTTTAGTATATGTATGTATGTGTGTGTGCTTATGAGTTTCTAACTCCACATTTCTTGTATATTCGTTTATTTGGTCGCTCTCCTTTCACTCACTTGACAGCTCACATCAAGAACGAGCAGGCGGTGAGCCAACCATCCGGCAAACGAGTTGACAGCATGTCAGAAAGCACCATTCACCAACTTCTTATGACGCACAATTGTTGTTGTGTGCACTTTTCATTGTATTGTTGTATGCGTATACGTGTGTGAGTTCATGCAAAGAAAACCAAGCTATGTTAAATACTTAAGCATTGGTCACTTGTGGCTTGGTGTTGTTATGCAGGCAACTAGCTGTAATCTCATTGCGATTCTGAGGATTTCTAAAGGACTACTTATAAGTGCATATACGGCAAAGAAAACAATAACTGTAGTAATTGTGTCCAAAAAGTATACATGTACACCTTGAACATAATTGCCCCTTAATATCATTGAATTTTTAGCATAAAATATTAACCGAAACACAATTTTGGAATACGGCATGAAATTCATTCATGGCCTTGATCGGTCCTTTTGCGGTCATTGACTATGGAAAGAGCTACTATACAAAACTATATAAGCTCAACATATTGTCAGACAATATAGTCTTTTAGTAAATGCGCCCCGAGGAGCAAATAACTGAAAACTTACGATTCGAATTACGAATTTCGTGTGAATGAAAAATTATGTTCGAATTTCGAATATGCTATAGTGAACTTCGGCAATCTGCCACACATGTTTTTTGTTTTAATTTAGTGGAATTGAAAAAAATTTTATAAATTTATGAAGCCAATTAATTATGCGACTGTTTCAGCTTAAAAGCGTGCTTTTCTTTTTAAGTAAATACATATTTGTTTTGATCGAATCAGACCTGTTAAGTAATAGCTGCATAAATTATATAGATTATGCTTGCCCAGTTTGCGTTCTCCACCACAGAAAAAATATTTAATGGTATACTCGTATATGAAGGAAGAATCGATTTAAAAAACTTATTGAATGGCTCCACATTGGCTGACAACTTTAAAATCGATTTCGCTGGCGGCCCCTAGCTATTGTAGGAATCAAGTAATTTCATCCAAAATACATACACTTTCTCCTTTTTTCTTGTTGAAAACTCTTTCCCATATCAGAGTTTTCGACTTTAGTGTTGACCAAAAATATCAACTGTATTTTGTTAATAGTCCTTAATTTATATAAAAAAGTTGTTAAAACCAAGTAAATTGTTAATAAAGCTTACATTTTAGTCATAGTTGTTCCCCATCAACAATTTTGTAAACCAATTTCATAGATTCGCATGAAAAAGTTTACATCTACGATTATGCGATGTGAATACGATATTTTTGCCATGTGAATTTCGCAATAAGAAAAACACAGTTTTTTTTTGGAATTTTCTCTACAATAACCTACTAGTTTTTTGATCTGATCCAATATCGAAATTGGTAGGCCAAAAACGAACAAAAATTTGATTAAAATTAAAATGCACCTTGCTTTAAAAACGTCTTCATTTTGTTTTTTTTTTTAACGTGAGTCATTGTATGGACAATAACTTTTTCTAGAGAACTTTATTTAGGCTTCATAACCTTAACCCAAGTCTCATAAACTATTCGAAACAGTTGTTACATATATTGCAAGTATCTACATTATAATGTAAAATTGGCGAAAATCTGTTAACACAGACATCAAATTATCATATAATTTAATGTTTGATTCCATCAATTCTCTGAACAATCTAAGATTTATAAGATTAGGGTTGTGGGGTGATATGTTAGTTAACGGCACGGTGCCGCCCACTTTTGGGAGCAAATTAATATTCATTTTAATTTTAAAATTCCTCTGACATGTAGTCTAAGAGTAGTCGAAATCGTTACAATATAATTTTTGCCATATAACCAATATTTCCGTCAAATAGTTTAATTTAAAAAAAAATGTCTTAATAATTTTAGGCAGAATATGTAGAACTTTTCTAATAACTTTTTTCATTCATTCATATACCAAATAAATATGATATTACACCAAATATTTCATTGAGCACCTGACTGATGGCATGAATTATAAGATAATTTTTGGCCGTCGTGGAAATACGTGTTTATATGGATAAAATAAGAGAAAGTGCTTGAAAATTTCTTTTTCATTCTATGGGATACTAATTTATTTCTTAATGATAGGTAGACATATTAGATATTTGAAAACAAAGTATGGGTAACGCGACAGTTTTGATACTTTGTAGTATCAATCCAAAATGTGCTCGTAAAATTTGTCAACAATATTCTTTAGCGACTAATTTTTATAAAGAAAATATACTTTTTGTAGACCCGTTGAAATCTGTTGTAGAATCATATCAGGCATCTAGTCTTGTCTTAAAATTTATGAATAACTTTATTTGGCTTGAACAATAATTATACAGAATCACTACACTTTAAATAAGTAAAATTATTTCAATAATTTTTACTTCTCTTTGACGTTTTTATACAACAATAAGGCTAGCTGATTTGACCTGCTGAGATAGGCTTCAAACCCTTTCCTCAAGTCTGATTTGAAACTGAAAACTCGTATCACCCTAATTTCAAATTTCGGTATGAACTAAAGTATCACATTTTTGCATGACAGCGAGGAGAATACACAAAGAGTCGAGGTGTCCGCATCCCATCGTTGAAGTGTCCGCACACATTCTCACTTGCCAAGGTTGCGGCTGTGCTGCATTTTCATTTCCATTTTCGTTTTATCCTTATTGTTTTCTGCTATCATTTGTGAAACACGCACACAGGGTTGATGTTGTGGTCGCATGAGGCACACACACACACGAACAACAAAAAGCTCCGATCGCTGGTGACAAATGCCAATGGCAAATTGCAAAATTTCGGAAAGAAAAGTAACCTGATGCGTGGCTAAAGAGCGGCTTGTTGACAAACATACATACAAACACGTATACGGTATATATGTATATGCGATATGTAAGAATAGTGAAATCGGGCAAAAGGGTCTACCTAATAAGGAAGTAAACACCAACAGCGGACAGATGATAAGAGAGTTCAGTAGATGTTTGATGTTCAAGAGGGAGCACACATACATATTAGCTCCCATAAACACACACGCACAAATAATTTATGGTACATTACGCTATTACTCTCCTCTTAAATTAGAAGCTGATACTTATAGAGTTTCATTCAAATTTTGAGGCTGTTCTGCACTTCGGCTTACCTAAAAAATTACTTACTTTGGCAATTCGGGTTTCAGATCTAATAATGAAAACTCCACCTGCTTTGGATCATCGCAGCCAGCACAGTGTGTAAAGACTGAGACCTTATTGTCCGCACGACGGCCACCAACAACCAGTGTTACCATGGGCAGCGCCTAGAGAAAGGCATGAAGGAAGAGAGGTATGAGTAAAGAGAGGCATATGCCAGCATGTAAATAAGAGCTCTTGAAAAAAATCTACGATAATTAAGGTACGAAAATGAATAGGTTGCTAAAGCATAGAAGAAATTGGGCAGCCAAAAAGGCGAAAAACAAAGGAAAGATTTAATACGGTGATTAAAAAAGGTGTCTCTTTTTCTACTTATTTCATACAAAGCTTTCTAATTAGTGATTTTTTGTCGACTTTTCCACACTAGAATAACTAGTAGGTTATACCTACATATATACAAAATCATGTCACTTGCTTGTCTTTGTCGGTGCGACCCAATTTCTCACAGCGATTTAATTAAGTCCTCAAAATTTCTATTATATAAACGAGTGTGTGTGTGTGTGTGTGTATGTGTATGGCAGTTGTAACTCACCATCGGCAGAACGAAGCCGTCATTGTAGTCAATATGTTCGCCAATCAAATTAACACGTCCGGGAGCACAGCAGGCCACTTCTGGATCGCCGCCAAAGAGATCATGATACGTCGATTTGGCCAATGCCAAAATTTCTTCGTACGTGGCTAACTTTGTGACTGCGGGCATTTTTATATTGTCTCAAGTTACACGAGCACTTGCTGTTGCTTGCGGTACTCTGCGCTCGGGTCAATTGGCAACGAATGACGCCTGCTGATTGTGGGTAATTAGTGGCACGTGGTGGAATATTCTCGGTTTTTATTTCTTGGTTTTTGCTAAGGCTAAATATTCCGGGAATTGTTTCGTTTTGAAATTGCAGTGATTCTCGTGTTTGCTAATGACTGAAATGAAAATGTGGAATGAATATAGAGAGCGTGCTGTTGAAGTAAATATAATTTGGGCATTGTTGATTTTTATTACGGAGAATTTTATGTTTTCCTCATGTACACTTACTAATATTCAAAGCAAGAATTGAAAAAAAATATTTTTAAATCTAAAAAAAAGCTACAGAATGTTATCACCTAATTAAAAATAAAATTCAAATATAATATAAACATTAGCCTCAACCTCATATACCTATATAAATTAATAAACCTATACTCATTTAAAATGAAATGAGAATTCTAATTTGCCACATATTTGTTAAACCGAACTTACTCTCCATATGCAAGCTTCGTATATGATATATATAAAACTTGCATCAATAAAAGATTTCAAACAAGAAAATATGTTAACTTTGGTTGTACCGCAGCTATAACATCGTGTATAAATACAAGAAATTAATTCCGCTCGTTCCCTTTGTATGACAACTATATGCTATAGTGATCCGATCTAAACAATTTCTTCGGAGACTACATTATTGCTTTAGGCAATAATTTGTGCCAAATTTCATAAAAATATCTTTGTCAAATAAAAAAGTTTTCCATATAAGCACTTTATTCCGATAGTTCAGTTTGTATGGCAGATATATGCTATAGTGGTTCGATATTAGCGATTCCGACAAATGAGCTGCTTCTTGAAGAGAAAAGGACGTGTGTAAAATTTTAGATCGATATCTCAAAAACTGAGAGATTAGTGCGCGTATTCACAAACAGACGGACAGCAGACCGACATTGCTCAATCGTTACGCTTGTCATGCTGATCATTTCTTTTTGGGTATTACAAACATCATGGCAAACTTAATACCCTGAACAAGGTGGGTATAAAAAACGATGGAGTATTACCGTTTAAAGATATCCAATTAAAAATTTTGTTTCAGAAAATAGTGAAGAATTTGTAAACCGATACATCTCAAAATATATGAAGCGTGCTCGTATATATACATATATGTAAAAAAAATATATGTATTATATATGTAAGAGTATATGTATATGTAAGAGGGATGTACAAAAGCTCTAGCACGATATGAAAAAAGTTCTGTATAGTTTCAAATACCTCAAATTCAACTTGCTTGAATCATAATATTTCACTAATCAAAATAAAATTAAAATATTTATTTCCTACAAACATTAAAATATTTTTACTGGTTCATACTTTTGCAAATTCTTCACATTCACCATAACCTTTTAACGTTTATTTGCAATAAATTTAACCATCAAAATAAAAGTTGAACTACATACACCACTCAGAGATCTCCATGCGACAGAGGAAGACTTGCAGAAAGTCATAAAACTTCTTCATATGAGCGTAATTAAATTAAAATTTCTTTTGTCTTCGCGATTGCATCTTCATTGTTTTGAGCGGAATTCTGCTTTATGCTCCGACACGTCCGCCTTGCACTAAATAAGTTTAGTTACTTTTATTTTAATTTTTATGGCGCTTTCAAAAACACTTTTAAGATTTTTATGCGCAAAGTTTCGGCTGCTGGTCGGGCGGCTGGCTGGCCCGGGCTCAGCGTGCGTTGATCTCCGCTCATGTGTAAATAAAGTGAAATCGAATGTGCAAAAAAACGGCAAAGGTTGCATGGCAAGGGTCTTACTTATGTTTTGAGCTTCGAAAACAGCGACTTACACACACACACACATGTGTGAACTTATGACTACAAGTACTTATGCACTAAGTTGCTTATTCACTCTTTTGTTGAGTTCGCTGGAGGAGCCCACAACGTATTTTCCCTTTTCTGTGCATATGCAATTGTTTGTGACTGGGTATTCAATTTAATATGCGGTAAAAAGTTAAAAACTACCATAAAAGAAGATTTATTTGCTTCCGCAAGTTTTTTCCCCAGTTTTTACTTTTTTTTATTTTTTTTTGTTTATTTAAAAAACAATCCGTCATGCAAAATTGAGTGTATATGAAACGGAGTTTTTGTTACTTGTGTAGTGTGGTTATTAAAAAAAATTAATATATTATATAAAGTAATGTTTAAGTTTAAATCACAACGACGCTAATTTCATTCCAAAATTTTAGTAGTCCGGTCCGGTAACGTGAGAATTAAGCACCAAAAAGTTAGTACAATATTAACAGGATCCGTAATCTTAAGCTGAATGGGTCTCTCAATTAGTCCAAGATCTTAATCTGTTTTTATATTGTCCGCTTTCTTTACTTCTGTCTCGAGTCAGAGCGTTTGAGAAGCATATCAATGGATAACCAGAAAAACGCTGACTTCGGTTTCATCAAAGCTTTTAAAACCTTCACAAATAAAAAAGTTTTCCTTTTAAGAACTGTATTTTGATCGATCAGTGTGTATGGCAGCTACATCCTACAGTGGTCTGATCAGCGGTTCACACAAATAGACAGCTTAAAGATACAAGAGTTTAGATCGATATCTCAACAACTGAAAGATAAGTTCGTTGCGCTCGTCATTCATATAATACAAATTATTAAAGATTATATATATATATAATTGCAGTAAGATATCTTAAACCAAACACTGTTACTGTTTGTTCTTTCGGAGACGTTTTTTCTGCGGATACTACAATATTGGGCAGAAAGCGAACGCCATTAGACAAAAACACATTAAAAACAACAACTTTTATTCATTGAATCAATGATAAGATATTTAAGGGGAAAAATCGACCGAAGGGAGTACCTAAGCAAATAAAGAGAGAGAGAGAGCGCGAGAAAGAGAGCTAAAGTGATGGAAAGTGTCGTTAAAATCGGAAAGAGAGAAACGAAAAATGTTTACTATATACAATAAGTAACGCTATCCAACATAATAGTGTTTTAATTTCACCTTGAATCTTATTAATATGGGTCAAATGAATGCTTATCACAAATACTTATACATTTTAAATAAAAATCTCTCTTGAGATTATAATTGAGTTGAGATCAATCTCACATCGAGTTATGATATAATAATAACCTTGCATTCGTCTATGTTTTTTTACAAAGCTTTTCGTGTTATAATATTTGCCAAGCGATTTAATTAACAAATGTTCAACGTTATCACTTTACAATCTTAGTAATTTATAATAAGTTGTTGGAAAGGTTTCATAATGACATATAACATACTTACATATAGTTTTATATATATTTGTATATACTTATAATTATATTACATATCTTTATTAAAAAGTTAAAGTAACTAAAATCGACTTCTAGCAATAGGAGAGGAACAATTTCTAGAGCAAATATGTAGCACATCTCTACAACACGGACGGTGACGAATCGAACAAACAACTCGTTTAAGTATCATTGACTATCTTTGGTATCTAAAACCATATTTTCGAGTTTTTAGACTAGGAATTTTGGTTTTTAATATTTTACACTATAGTCTACTCAGAATAAGCAGCTGATGAAATTTGACTCGGACTGAATCGATTAAAACTTTATTTCTTTATCGGTATCGGCCATATTTATTTAATGTATATTTGACATCTATATTTTTTTTTAAGAAAAAAATTTGTGTAGCAATTTTTACCATAAAAAAATTGAACAACGAGCTTGCTTGAAATTTTGTGTTTCCACTCGAATCACGGCTACGGAATCGTTGAAAATGTTGCATAAGTGTTTCGGGAAGTCTACTTTATCGGGAATCTAAGTATTTGAGTGGGTTGACTCAACTCATTTGGTTAAAGTTTTCGTTATGATGTGCATCAATGCTAGACTCTTAAAAAAACGTGAATCTTTTGCAAAAACGACGTCGAATAGAGATCGCTAAAACGATGCTTGACAACGTAGCTGTTGTAAGGCCCCTACATTTATCAAGCGCATCTTTACTGGTGACGGGACGATCGTGTATTATAAGAAATCTACAATAATCACTAAATGGTTGCAAAGTAAATAAGTTAGGTAGGTTTCACAGTTATCAATACCACTCTGCGCTCAAATTTTGAGCGTGGAAATAAACGACAAATTATAAAAATAGTATTACAACAGATGTCGCTGAGCAAACCGGCCCAACTGCTACTCAACATAAGTGCATATGAACAAAGTACGATATGTTAAGTAAGTTGAGTGCGTAACAAAGAACATGTTGAAGGCAAGTTTAAATCCCAGTAACGTTACTTAATGAAGGTAGAAATTTAAAAAATTTTCAAAATAAAACTTGTTGAAACTATTAACAGTCTTGACAAAGATTTAATGTTTCCACACTAATGCTCGTACGAGTATATATATGTATATAATCGCCAGTTGACACTTATTATCGCTACGAGTATTTATAGCACAATAAAATACAATAAATAATAATAAACACACAACTTTTTTCTCAATTGCCACAGAGTGTTTGACATTTCGTTGATTTGCGAAGATAAATACGAAATCTCATTACATTTTTGGCAACTAATTGCAATATGTATATACTATTGGTTTTATAATTATTAGCACCACACTTATGAAAACATGTTTCTATATTGAATTTTGTTAAAAACATTTGCTTATCGCTATTTAAATGCTTTACTATTGAATAGTTTATATTTCAATTTTTCAAAAACATTCCTGCTACGCCACAAATCGATGAAAATTTCACCAAAAGTCCCACGAAACCACACTTCTAAACAAACAAATCGTACCTCACTCACGCAGGGAACGGCGTCAACTGATTGAGGAGAAGCTCCCGCCCAGCGACGGATCAATATTATTTATACAATTTACTTGCAAATTACGCTTTGGTGCCTTACTTTAGTTTCATACACGCTTTGCGCACGCTATTAACGCGCTCCGTACTCGACTACACTAATTCAACCTTTCTGCAGTTTAGTAGAACACTTGTTGCTCGTTCTTTTTATTTTCGTTTAGCCTATATATTTTTTATTTAATATTTACACAAACAATTGTTGTCTCAATTGTTTATCAGCGCCGGCGGTGATAAGCGACTAAATGGGCGCGAATATTTAACACAAAGCAAAGAAAGCTAGAAAGCAGCGAGAAATGTCAATTCAATAAAACAGTGGTAGGGAAAGTGGAGGTATGAAATTGCCTCGCTACAGCAGGTACTCAACGAGTAGTGCAATGAACTAATTGCACATTATTATCGCTACACACAACAAATCTCTCTGACAGCGGCTGTCTCCTCTTACTCATGCTCAGACATGGCCCCACATATTTATGTGTCGCTCAGCGTGTACTCACTTGTCATTGCTAATTTTGCTTACAGCCGCTTCGTTATTTTAAATGTCTTCCTCTTGTTCATCATAAATATGCATTGCATTGATAATGCCAAATTCTCTCAAACATATATAAATATATTGCATTACTTTCTCATTCATTAGTATAGTGCATTGTGCTCAATGTACTCATTGTGAGCGTGAAATGTCCGCTCTCAATGTCACATGGTTTTGTCGGCTCTCGAATGACACGCGAATGTCATTTATTTTTGCAAACAATTACTGATAAGAGTATCAACAATGAAACACTAACACTTTGCACTTGACAATCACTTATAGTGTAGTCAGAAATACTAGCAATAGAGCTTCTGTTTGCTGTTAGTAAATACCCAAATAACCCACTTGGTAAGGGTAAGGTATTACATCTCTAATGTTTCAAGCAATCAATGGGCAAACATTTTTTATACTTCACCTGAATTACCAATTGGGTATTTCCATACAGAATTTTTGCGCACAAAGTAGTGGTTTCTTCACAAGTCTTTTTTTGATTATAAGCAAATCATATCTCTCTCTCTGCATTGATTTACCTTTCTGATACCATCATTGGGGGAAAACAAATTTCCGTTTCAAGTCATCCAAAATTGTCACTTAAGCTAGTATAAAACGGCATGATCATAATTTATTTCAATTTTTATTTTTACAATTTCTTTATTGCACTAATTTGCATGTATTTAAGTACTACTTTGAAATTTCCAACAATTAGACTTCCTCTTCAGGTATATCAAATATCTCAGTTCTGGTCTGAGCAACAAACGAAAATTTAAATTTTGGTTTATTTTAAGGTAAAGAATGTCTCCTATCACTTTTGTAATAGTTGATTCAATTCTGACATAGTAGATGGACTTTTTTCATATATTAATTAGGGTTGATAACAGCTACTATCTTGAAACAGTTTATCATTTTCGATCATGCCTTTACAAAATTCAAACCCGTTGTCTGATGAACGTGATTAAAACGTGGTTAAAACTACTGATATATGCTCAATTATCACAAAACCCTACATATATTGGCACTTGAGTGCTTAATTAAACATATGCATATTCTAGACATCTGTACTCAAATTATTTATATACAATAACTACATCATTTACAAGTACCGCAATTGAGTTTATCGCCTCTCAGCGCTCTTCCAGTATATTTGTACATGAGCAGTCGGCAAATACGAGTATCGATTAGGTAATTGTTGATAACCCTTAATGAACTACTTATCATCTTACTTAGTTAACTATTGCCATAAGTAATATGAGTAAAAATATTAATAATTATGTGCTAGAGGATAAATAGGTCGTATGTTTTTAGACTAGGGAGGTAGTTAGGTAAGAATGCTACCCCTTCGTGCACAGTTAGCGCTAGGTGTGCCATTTTGATACACTATCGTAAAACGTGGTTATCTTGATATCACGTTCCATTGTTATGTTGAAACCATTTGGTGCACTCAATGAAACTACTTATCTTCTTAATGAGTTTTGTCGATAGACATTCGAGATATGACAACTGATGGATTCCAAAAGTTCGATGTCTAATTTGTGATAGAGTTAGGCACTAATAGAGACACTATTATAGCACATACCCGCTTTTAACGCATGGTCTCCAAATGGCCAATGCCCTGTTATTGTTGCTGTAAGTCTATATATACTTTTCCTGGACATATGTAATAAGTTTTTAACTTGTCATAATTTATTTTTATCTTGTCATATTCTGCATTTTGTTCTGGGTTTCCATTTTTTAACTTCCCGCTAAGAAAATGGAAAATTTTCTAAAAATCGGGAAGATATTGGTTTCACCCCATTTTGCAAAAATCGAGTTCTCAACAGATCTCGACGTTCTGAGGGTCGAGGAAGCTTCCCCGAACATTTCTACGATGATGTCCGTATGTCTGTATGTATGTGTGGATGTATGTGTGTGTGTGTGGATGTATGTGACCCTCTTATAACTATTAAACTGCTCAACCGATTTGAATAAACTAAACGGCATTCCAAAGGGTTTCATTGCACTTGAATTTCGTGTAAGCTTGGACCCAATCGGGCCAGTAGATTTCAAGAAATCTCAAAAATAAAAATTTTGAAAAATCGTTTTTTTCGAATTTTTTCCAAACGACTTGACCGATCGACACCAAAAACTAATCAGTTCCCTTGAGGCCAACCGTGCCCTTGAGGCCAACCGTTTTCCCCATTTTTTTTTTGTGCTATTGGTTCGAATTGCGCTCCCTCTTGATGTTCCTGTGACCGGTAACCCAAATGAAGTAGAAGTCGAGTTGAGCTGCCAGTGAACTTAAAGCACACTTCGCTTTGTGTACGAAGCTCGAGTTGAGCATTGGTGACGACAAGGCTTGTAGTGCCGCCTGGCTATCTGTATAATATCTTTCTTTATCCACCCGTAGTTGTTCAGTAGACCTCCACCGGCCTTCTCTATGCCTACTACTTCCGCTTGGAAGATGCTAACTGAGTCTGCTAGACGGAAAGATATAGAGATATCCAGATCCTGGGAGTATATCGCCGTCCCCACACCACAGTCCATTTTGTACTCGTCGGTATAGATTTTGGTAGTACACTTCATTTCATTCACTCTTTGTTATTACAGATTAAGCTACAAAAAAAAAAACAGATGTCAAAACCCACTGTCATTTGAAATGTATTGATATTTTATAGTGGTAATTTGTATAATAACATATTTTGGAATCCTGCCATGGAATATCACACAATTTGTAAGGTATTTGCTACAATTAGATATAGTCAAATATATATGTAAGTATAATCTAATTAATAAATTAAATGTGACATATCGAGAAATCGTCAATTGCACTTAGTGACATCACCTTTTTTAGAAACATAGAGTCACCGTGGTTGATTCTCTACTTGTACTTACGCGAGTGTAGCAAACTGTGTTAAAAGTGTAATAACGTCGAATATTTTATATTGCGTTAAGAACCACCTTTATAATGGTGACAATTTGGATTTTATATTTATTATTTAAAGAAATTCAAAATTTAATCGAATTAAATAGTCCTTTTACGTATATATTAGTTTCTCTGAAAGTATGCCCTACTCTTTTATATTTGACATCGTAGTCAAACTTATCGTAGTCAAACTTTTAATCCTAAATGTAGGCAAGACTTCATTCTAAAAGTAAAAATAAAAGTTTTTACTTAAAAATAAAATTTTGCCTACTTTTAAGCGACATAAAGATATAATCCAGATCTTCGCTACTTTTAAAATTCAAATCTTATGAAAAACACGTTTCGAAAATATGTTTATAAATATATTATTTTACTTTGCTAAAACATCCACCGTCTTTCTCTACTCACCACACTGTGTAGCCTTTATCAGTTCGCGTTCTCCATGAACATTTACGAAGCATATTAACTAAAAGCAGCTTGATTGCAACAAGCATTCTGTTTTCTGTCCGAATCAATGACTGTGGCTCTAGCGTTAACTGCGCTGACAATAATGTTGTTAAAAGGAAAAAACAATTAGTTGTCAATTAATACAAATTATCAGGACTTGCCACATTGTTACACTTCATTGTGCAACAAAAATGCCAAAGCGCATGGCGGGTCAAGACAAAAAAACGCAGAAGCAGCAAAATCAGTAGTCGCATTAAGCACATAATAAATAGCAGAAGAAGAGCAGGGGGTGCTGACAAGAGAACAGGGAGCGCTAGTAGAAAATACTGTCGAATCATGCTGAGCATCCACACACACACACACATATATATATATATATATATACAAACGTATAAAAATGCGATTTTATAAACACTCATGTTTGCTTGCACATCCTGGCGAGCTGGAGCAGACCACCGACATTTGCGCCCATTGTCATTCGCCTCGGTAGACTGTGCTACCCCGGTTCGTTCCTCGGCGCATTACTTCGCTTTGTTTATTTGAATTCTGTTATTTCTCTTAATTATATTTATTTAATTTTCTCGCCAACACGCAAAACGCAGAGAAGCGGAAAATCCACAGCAGCTTCCAAATACAATAACAACAAAATACAACAACCTTAGCATCACTATGTACGAATCGCATTCATCTGCTGGTGTGTGGCGGGCGCGGCATTGAAATACCAACGGAAATGGGCACATATAAAGCGGTTCAAGCGTAAAAATAGAAATTAAATGACTTGCAGGACAACTTGCACTCGCACTGATTTGTTTTTGTTTGCTTCTTTTTTCATTCCTCTGTTTGTTTTGGCTGTCTGCGTTTGCCTATTATACTAGTATATATACAAGTATATATTGTTCTATGAGTATGCGTGGGCAGAAGCACGTCTCGTCGGGCTGACCTTTGATAATTATTATATCCGTTTATGTTTATAGCTATCCAGTACGAGGGTTGCTGTTTAATTTTGGTGTTTAACATGACAAGGTTGGATCTGTTCGCTCCAATTTTTTTTTTTTTTTTTTTGATATGTAACTAAGTAATGAAAGCTTCAACACATTTACGTCTCTTCAAGAATATAAGTTGGCTTCATAAGATTTAGATAATTAATCGACAAACATGTTATAGATATAGCTGAGTCTCGGCAGACAAACGTGGCATGAATGGAATGTAGCCCGCACATGCCAGCTATTAAAATTCAAAAAGAATGGTATAAGAACTCTAGTGCTAACAGGTCACTGTCATATTGGCAGAAATGACAGCAGACTGGGAATACCATACAACGATTACTGTAGAAGCTGTCAGGAGGTAGAAGAAGAAGAGACTATAGAACATCTTCTATGTGAATCTAAAAATAAAACTTTTTGTATTGAGAAATTCATCAGGAGCACAGGGTGCTTCAGAGAGAACATAATTGAGTGAGGAGACTCTAGTCCACGTGGACTGGGCCTTCTAAAGATCTAGATGCGTCGTCAGACATCCACTCACCTACCTGCCTAGAGAAATATAAGGTTTAATAAAACGAAATCCATTATTTTTTCAATAGATGGCCTTAGTAATTTGGATCTTGTCCTGTATAAGTGTAATCGGGTGATCGGGTGGCGCTAGAAAGATAAGATTTCGCATTTAAAAAGCTTCTTAGACCGCTTTTTGATTGCTTGACTTAGTATTTTTTGAGCTCACGTCTGAGATGGAGACCAGGAAAGGGAAAATACGCTATATCTTACTAAGTATCTTCGATAAAGGTGAAAATGTAAGCCAGGCTGCTGAAAATTTGAACTAGCGTTCATAGTCCCGATGCACCACGCTCTGTGAAACCAATTGTCGATAATATCGATAATTAATGGAAATCGATGACTTCCGTCTGTAGGCACTGTCTCGATTGGCCAAGAGCTAAAACCGCGAATGTGTCAGTTTTAAAAGATAACGTTAGATTAGAACGATCTTTCATCCAACATGAATTTTCATCCAGGAACATTTTCTAGTGTGTCGGGTAAACACTTCAACGTTTTTTTTTTACCCAGTATTGGAAAATGCTCTGAAACCTCGTCATTCTGGATCTGCCAAGCATTCACTAACAGATTTCGCTAGAAAGCTTATTGATACTGACGATGTAGAACAGGCGGAAATAGTATGTTCAGTTTTACTAAGAAATTACTTCCTCTGTTTAGAACACAGTTGTAAAGTTAGTTAACCTAAAATGTCTTCTTAGATGGCCCGGAGGCTTCTACCAGCATTGTACATAGTTTCTGAATTTCGTTATAATTTTACAGCTTAAATTAATTGCGGGATTGGGTTGACCCACATCTACCAGTCAAATATATAGTCGTTAATAGGAGTTGAAATCTAAAAACTTTGTAAATTCTTATGAGCGAAATCAGTTCCGTCATTGCCATATCATCAAAATATGCCTAACTTTCCACCATTTTCAAAGCATTCCAATATTTCTCCTCTAGTCTGTCTCTGTTCGCTCAGGTAGAATAATTTCGGTGCGCTGAACTTTGGAGAACGTATTGACCTGACCGGTCTCTACACTTAGTCATTCCAGAGATTATGTAATAACTTTTGAAAAAATCGCTGTTGAAAGTCCTTTATATGTTCATTAAAATGTTCCTGTACATGTACGTAGAATCTTTTAATTGAAAAAGTAAAAATATTTACATATTTTGCATGTTACTGTTTTGTTTGTTGTTCCCTTGCTTTTCATCGCTGACACACATAATTTGGTGATTCTATAGAACGCTCCGGCATTATATCTGTATGTCAAGGGTCTACAACTAATTTAATTTGTGAATGCAACGTTATATGAGTAGTCGCATTTCATTCGAGATTTTAATTTGTGCTCGCATTCTTCTACGAATATTTTCAGTACGACACTTTTGAGTGCATATATGTATATATTTATGTGACTGGATTTGCTTTAAGGAAATTATATCTTTTAAATCAATATAACTTTAATAACTTAATGGCAGCACGTTGATTGTATAGAAGTAATGCTCTCAGCCGATGCTCCATATGAAGCTTAAACCGATCAAGTACCTATAACAAAATCTTAGATGATAACAATAATGAATTTTCCAAACTACAAAAAATTATAGTAAAGCCGCCACTTTGCTCAAGTGGCTACATCCCTAGGTAATTCATATGAGAGCTACTAAATATTAAGTTTTTTATTAATCCAATAGTAAGCTCTACTTATACCATATAGGTATTAATATTGAAAGGTTCTCATATTAATTAAAGAAAATCATTCGGTCAGCGTCACTTAAGAAAAGTATAACGGTCCGTTAAATACTTACCCTCACCGACCGATGGGAAATTTTCTATGATTCATCTCCTAGACGAATATTATTTTTTAGTTTTTTAGACCGCGAGTGGGCGCGAGCATGTCTGTGGTTTTTTTGATATATACATAATCAATATCGATCGGTGACACGATTATTATTTTTGAAAGTACAATCCGAGAGTGCTTTGGATGCTGTCGCCGCACATATTCATTTATTATGATAGTCATTGACAACATAGTAGAGATCAGAGACCAAGCAATGGTCAAACTTCATCCGCCGAACCTTTTCCGAAGAAGTCAAAGGCTTTCGTAACCGACGTAAAGGGGACCGTTTTCTTGAATTCACAAAGTGTGATCTATATCGACTAACCCGAAAAAGGCAAAACGATTGCAAAGCTTCACTCTGCCGAATTGTTAAGCTGATCGAAACAGCCGAATTGTAGAAAAACCGGTCCTATTTGCGAAAAAAAGAATGCTCTTCTCCTTTTGTTACACAACTCCGCGATCGTCACGGCCAAATTGATCGAATTAGACTAAATACTTCAGATTTTCTTCTTGTAACTTCACTTTGTATCCAGACATCAAAGAGTCACTCGCCGGGCAGAAATTAAAATCAACGAGAAAGTAATCGTCACAGACTTCCAAAAAAAAAAATTTTTCTGACGGGTAAAAAAAGTTGGAGCATTGCTGAGTCAAGTGTATCAAGCTAAAAGCAGGCAATGTGAAGAAAGAAATTACGTTGTTGTTTTTTGGTAGGATAAAAACTTATTCGATTCTGCCTATAGAGGTCTGTTCACAGACTCTTGAAACAAAGAATTCTACACTTCAGAAGTATTGTTAAACAAATATGGATTTTTTTAAAATATATTTATTGAAAACGCTTTATCATTTCATTAATTTACAAAAGCATACATTTTTAAAATTAATTATTTAAGCTTATGTTACAAAAACATTAGTTTCATAAATTTCAATATATTTTTCAAACCATCCAATTCAATTTCAATAAAGAGATAAAAACGATTACATAATTTTTAAAAAGTATTTTGTGACTTGCATAGTTTTAAACGAGTAAGTGGGAAGAAAAGCAGCAAATGCATAGATAGAACAGACTACTTAAATGAAAAGCTTGCCAAAACGTAACGAGATTTACCAATTAGTATAAATACATTACTGTTATGTTCATTTTCAAATTGACAAATATTTTGTAATAAAAATTTTCTACATTTTATTTTCACTGATGCTGACGGATCATCGTCTGCGGGTAATCGTGTTGCTCTAACCGCAGTCAAAGTGGCTAAAAATCGGTTTGGCGAGGATAAGCCGAATGCAAATTGTCACCGACTGTTGAGCAAGCTGTCAGAGTAAATAGCGACTTGGTTGTTGCAGTGTTTGTATGACAAATATGACACTAACACGATTAGTTTATAAGCTTATCCTTGCTGCCAACTTTGCTACTGTTGTTATTTTAGTAGCCACTCGAATTTACACGCTCTACTGAATATGTCTCAAGCACGCTGAGGTGTTCCAAACTAATTGTAGCGTCACTCGAGCACGCCATTTTGACTTTGCCGCATGACACTGTTAACCCAATATGTCTGAACCGTGAGACAAAATTTAGTTAGCTGGAATTTTTACACCGCTCGCATTACCAATGATATCTAGCTTAGTATGATGCTCACTTAAGCGAACTTAGTGCCGCTGCGTTTCTGCTCACTCTTCTCCTCACTTTCTCTCACACTTTCTCTGCTCCCCTCTCCTTCTCACTCTCTCTCTCTTCTTTGCTACCATTATGATTCCTGCGTTTTAATATTTTCCCTTTATTATTTATTTATTCTTTATTGTTATTGTTACACCAACGTCTTGTTGCTTATTTGCTTTCGTTGCATTTTAATTTGAAACCACCATTATGTTGTTTCCTTATATTCCACCACGTTGTCATAGCACCTCTCAACTCTGTGATCTCTTAACTCCTCATATTACTGCCGCTTATACACACTTCTCACCGCCGCTCTCGAGCTCCACTCTCCGCTGCATTTTGATTGGAATTTCTAATTTCTAGCACGTTGAAAGTTCTTGCCTTGCAACGGCAATGGCGGCACACCTTCGTTGGCCAGCTGCTGGTATCAAGTGTTCGTACGGAAGCAGGTGTCCCAGAGCGTCAAACGAAAGCAAACATGTAAGAGACAACAAAAAAGAGCAGAAGAAAAATACAAATGAGCAAAAAGTGTTATAAATTGAGACAAGCATGTAATATAATAAAAGTGGCACACAAAAGGTGGCATCCAAGCAGCAACAACGCCAACAATGCTGTAATGAATGCGGGTAAAAGGATACAAATTAAAAAATATTTCGTTAGCCAAGCTGACCAAACGCAAAAGGACGAACGATTGCGGAACAAAGTAATAAGGATACAATGCCAAGAAAGTGTTTGCAACAATTACGGTATAACAATATTAGCGAAGATGCCACAAAAAAAGGGACGCACAGAAATTATACACACAATATGAAAAATACCAAACAACGTATAATAGACAATAGCGGTAAATGGAAAATAAACAAAAAAAAATGTGGTACAGACACATACACTATAATAAATCCTCAAAGCTGAAATCTAAACAATCCTCTTGTAAAAGATATTTCAATTTGAAAGATGGAAAAAAATTTTAAAAAAAGCTGTGTTTCAAAAAATTATCCCAAAAAAGGGTCATAGGAAGGGATCAACCAAAAGATCCAAAATTATAATATTATATAATATATGGAGAGATGACTTGAATCTCTTAGTAGAGTCACACAAAAAGCTTGATTCTGAAAAACAAACAATCAAAACTTACCTAATTTCTATATGTTGTTATGGCAGTAACATGAAATATTCGTTAATTAGTTCGATTCTTTTAGTTCTTGGCCGAATATAAATCTGGGTTACTCAATCTCGACTATATTAAGACTTGTTAGACACTTGCTTCTTAATACCTTAAAGCAGATATATTTTTACTTTAGGTAGTGTCGTTTCTATAGGTTTATTTTATCTTTAATCAAACCGGAAGTTCTATAGTTCTAGTTTTAGACCACTTCCTAAAATATAGCACATTTAGCGAAAATTTCTTAATACTAGTCTTATTGTTGGGAGGCGATGACGGTTAGAAAAATATGTTTGAAATAAAACCATATGACGGGCCTATCGGAGTCCTTACTGGTCGCGTCTAAAATAACTAAAAACATTTAGTTGTCCTTTAGTAATATTTAGTACCCAGCGAAATATATCGGATGTCAGTTGGCTCACAGAGAGATCAAAACAACACAGCTGATTCAAATCAAAAAATAGACCAAGGCTATAGTGGTATAAGAATCAAAATGAATAATCTATAAGTCTATTATCATTTCCTTCCTATTAGACGGCGCCGAAATGCGGCCGATGATGAACCGAGTTGAGAAAACACTTGGAGCATTCTACAGAACTGTTCTTCGCAAGCTCTTTGCAGCCGTCCTCGTTACCGATGAGATGGAACCACGAACTGTAAAAGTCTACGCCGAGTATAAGGATAAGTGCATAAAAATCGAACGAATACATACGACAATGTCGTTCGCATGGAAGACGATGATCTAACGAAAAGCATATACGATTCGAGGCCCATAGGTGGACAATGAAAGCAAGGACGCCCACGCACCCAATAGAAGTACCAAGTGCATAGAAACTTGTCTGCACTTGGAATATAAAACTGACGTGACCTCGCAACTGGTGAAGTTTTGTGTTCTCCACCCAGACCAATCAAAGATTTTGGGGGCAAAGAAGAAGAAGAAGATTTTCTAATGTAAGGAGAAGACAATAAAATATAGAATTATCTTGAGAAGAACTATAAAGTTATTTAGATATAGAATCCTTACGAATAATGTGCTGATCTAAGCTTGGAAGGAAAAGTATCGAGATTTCTCAAAAACAAGCTCAAGAATTTTTGAGAAAGCTATAAGAAACCGAAATATCATAGAACACACTATAAAAGTATTACTGCTTGTAAAAGAAGCCAAGAAAAACAAGCAACCATCTCAATTTTTAATCAACCATTTCTTGCAGTGTACTAAAAAACATCATGAAAAATACCGCAACTTTACGAAAGAGAATGCTTTGTAGTCGGTCAAAAAGCGAAAACAAAGAAAGCAGAATCTAATAAACACGACCGCTGCCACAGTCAAATCAAGCCACATTCACTCATTTTTTCCGCTTGTTCACTTCCTGCTTTCCGTTCTGTTTTGGTCTGGTCTTAAAGTGGCGAAAATGGTGAACATCATTCGTTTTAATTGTTTAATTAAAATATGTTTGCTCGGTTTTTCCAGTTCCTTGCTCTATTCTCTTCGGTTCACTTCTTGTTCTGGTTTTCTTTCATTACCGCTATTACTCCCAGCTCTTTATTACAGTTATTTTGTTGTAACTTGCATATTATGCTGTTTTCATTAATTTATGTGTTAATTAAGTATTTGTATGTTAATTAGTATTCATGGTGTACAAAGACATCAAGGCAGCTGCTAAAATGCAATTGTGGACTTTGGATAAGCATCATTGCGAAAGTTAGAGAAACCGTTATAAAATTAACGATTGCTTGTATGCGGTAAGGCTATATTATAAATTTTCCAGGTCAAAGACCATAAAGGTTCCATCGATTTAATAGGAATTTATTCAGCAGAATACGGAATGCTTAGGGAGACCCTATTACTGCTAACTTGTCGAAGCAACCACACCCCAACTTGTGTTGGAACTATGTAATAAGCTATGTAAGCTTTAGGGGATTTTCATAATAGTCTTCAACAGTCGATTTATTCCCAAAAAGCTCTACTAGATAATGAATTTTATGGAAAATCATTAAATTCTTAATATAAGAATGTCGATATAATGAAATATCGAGTAAGGTTTTATGAACATATTTCAACACTGAAGGTATATTTGGTTTCCACAGCCAGTATAACCCCTGATGGAAGACCCTATACACGCAATGTATTATGTACTAGTTTTTTTTATATATACACAAATAATCAGCGTGTTGGAGTCGATTTAGTCTTCTACGTCCTCCGTCTATACATATATACCGACTCAGTCAACCAGTTTAGAGTTATCGTCGAAATTTAGCACACCTCATCTCTCAGAATGCTGCTCATTTGTGGAAACCCGATACTCAACTATATAGCGTGCATGCATATAACTGATGGATCCAAATCACAATCTGTATGTGAACTTTTCATTTGACAAGATATCTTCACGAAATTAGGTTGAATTCTAGAAGAAAAAGGTGAACTTGAAGTTATTTTTTCTTGTGAGAGTAACGATCGAATGCGTCAAATATATTTAACAGTATCGACGTGAGTTGGCTCGTCGTCGACTTGAACTGTGATTTAGTACATAATTCTTTAAAGCGACACTCGGTCATATTTTCGAGACGACTTGGTAAACGATTTTAGAAATTCATCTACCAGGATGCGGTAGTGCGCAGCTTGCAAGAGAGAAAATATTTTTATAAAACAGGAGTTAATTTAAACTCCCCTAAATAAGGATAGACAGACTAAAAATAGTATGCACGCTGTCTAGTTCTTGAAGCTGATAAGCACTGCGTTCGATTATGCAGTCATATATTATGTCAATGTCAGTACTATACGGACATGCGGTCTTTCTGACACGATATTATCATGAGAGATCCTGTGAGCTCCTAACCTTTAGCAAAGTTTGTCTTTCCTAGTAGTCGTCCATGCGCGAGTTATATTTACCGAATGCCAGTTTTGCTTTTTGGAAAAGACGGGGTAACTTCATCTTGAGTATCCTTTTTTAAGAGTTTAAGATCGAAAAGTACCTTGGCTTTTAACTGTTAAACTGCGAGACTAATTAACTAAACTGATCTATTACTTTTTTCGACACAACATTTTCTGTGCACTGATAAAGAAAAGGCATTCGGCATATTTGTGTGCAGAATCTACGAAATTCTCGTTGAATGCCTTACAAATTTAGAGCCTTAACATGCACAACATATTTATATGTGTGATATGTTAATAGCTCCTTTTGTTACCGAATCTTTAGCTGGCGTGAGACCGTTGTAGGGGACACTCAGTTTTTATACATGATACCTCAAGCTAGAATAGATCTAAGATGTATATCGTCCTCACTGTTCACTAACTTAATCTCAGAATCCACCACAATTTACTTTCTATCAGCTGATTACAAATCGTCAGACAACTCGTTCGTTATAAAATTTACTTTGAATATATGGAGATTGATGTTCACGCTCAAATAGTCCACAATCGATGTTTCCGTGATTGCCATGAATTTAAAGATAATTTGTATTAAAATGCACACAGCAGGAATTGGTGTCAAATGTCAATAAAAATTAGAAAAGTACTCACATTTCACAAATACCACACAGTCAACACTAGAATTCACTAAGCAACATAGCATACACTGGCATGGACAGCACCACATAGCACAGCTGATCCAAATTTGCACTGAATGTCGTTGCAAATATTGAATGTGGCAGAATGAGATGGAAACGTGTTGCATGGCATTCAGTTTACAATGCAAAGCAAATTACAATAAAATCCCAAATGCACACACACACACATAACACAAACGCAGGTGCAGTCGCATATCGATGCATAAATATACCGAAAGTGGTGAAATGCAAAATAACATGCAAGTGAAATGTTCGAGGCGCGTCAGTATGACAGTCGGTTAGGTTGGTGCTTAGATACTTTTGTAGATGGAATAAAAATAAATAAATAAATGCATGTAAGCATTAATGCGCCGATGTATATGTGTGAGTGTGCGTGTGTGTGAGGTGAGCACTTGTTGCATTGCGTGTGAACAGGTGACTTATGCAGGCAAATAATCGATAACAATTGACATTGAGTGCTGCAGAAGCTAGGGGGGGGGGCCCCAGCACCAAGCGGCCAAATTTTTTGCTTCTTTTTTTCTTTTTTTCCTT